ATTGCCCTATTAAATTTTTTTTTGTGTAATCCTATAATATTATTCATTATGTCATCGTTATTCGTTGCTTTTTGTCTTGCTAAAAATGTTACTGGAAACGATAATTACATCACCGGAACTGCGATATATCGAATAAACGATAATACTGATAAATTTAGAGAAATTACTTTCAAGGGTTTCCCCAGAAATTCTGATTCGTTGGTTACTCCGTTCGAAAAAAATTCCATTATCTTGATGGTTGGCCATTATGTGTATGAAGATAATGTAGAATATGTACATATTAATTACTATTCTTATTTTTATTAAATAAATTATAAACTCAATTCACACTTTATTATTTCTCTCAGGTCACTATAATTCAATCTGTTCCCGTATCTTATTCTGATGATGAATATACTCTTACCCAAGAAGACCTCCCAAATTCGTCTCCCTTATTACTTTACTCGGCTCCTTTAGTACCAAATTCATATATTTCTGACAATAATGGAGGTCGAGAAAGTTTTATGCTAGCAAGGCGTTTGTATAATAGAGTCACTAACAATAAACAAATTGACTCTAAAGTTATTGTATTATATCTAAACGAAAACAATCGTTATAATGCCTTAAAAAATAATCTAAAAAGAACTGTCTTATCTGTTATAGGATGGTTGAAACTTGGATCAAAAAAACTTCCACATATTCTCGCTTCTGATATTGAATAGACCTATCCAACTAGTGACCCTCAAACTTCAAATACTTCGTCTAGTAGAACAACATCTTCACAAGGAGAACTTGACACACAACTTGAAAACATCGAAGAAAAATATGCTGCATTAACATCTCAATTCCCTCAAAAAAGACAAAGAATTAATTTACAAAATTCTTCTTTTAAACCCCAAAATGACAAAACTACATCCCCGAATTTTATTGAAGTCATCTCCCGAATTCAAAAAGAAGCTTCTTCCGCTGGACCTTCTCATGCAGAATCTACCCAACAAGTTATCAACGAACCTAACTCGCAAAATACGAATGAAACTCTTACTCCTACTGCATCTTTTGCAAATGAAACAAACACTTCTATTAACAATAATATACCCATTGAACCTACCCACTCTGATACTTCTATTCTTCAAGGCGAAAAATCTGATACTAATAAAAAGCGTCTAAGACCACTTCTACCTGCAAAAAAATAAAAAACAATTACTCTCTTTTGTAATAATTTTTTTTTTCTATATAAATAGCGCTGTCTACTTTTTTATATACATACGTTCTATAAATTTGTTTAATAAATACTTCTAAAAATATTATTTTTATCCACCTTTAATTTTGTGTACAAAAATATTACCCATTGATCAATTTGTGTTACTTCTAATTTTTCATGTGCATCAAATGAAAATCGAACATACTTGAATAAAACAGGCCACTCTAACAAAAAATAAATTGATCTTAATTCATTTTCATTAATTGAATTACTGCTTATGGCATTATGTGTATCAAAAAAAATAATTCATTTAAAAAAATAACAGAATAAATATGTAATTGAACTATAGTCGATATTTATTGATTCTTATTCGTCAAATACTATTGACAATAACTCCCATCATTGATTTAATACAAAAAAAGAACATTAATCCAAAATTCACTATTTTTAGGCTTGGATTATTCTACCATACGAAAATATTACTAACGGAATACTCTATTAATTGTAAAACTTATAAAAAAAGCAATTCGTACAATTTATAAAATTTTCAAGTTTAGGTAAAAGAAAAAAAAATCTCAATCATTCGATATCACGATTAATTGACAATATGTTACTACGCCACCATCGGTTAATTGATAACAATTAATTTTCTCCACGATCAACTATTCGATGATCTTTGATTATATGCTTACAGTTATGAAAACGCATTATCATTAACAATTTAAATTTTTTAAATTTTACATTATTTATAAAATATATTTAAATTATTACATCTATAAATTATTTTGTTTAAAAAGCGCCACATTAATGAGGCTATAAAACATTAATATGACTCATTAAATGACAATAAATGACTGACGCGAAATAAAAATTACAATAATAATATGCAAATGAAAGATAAAACCGATTATCGGGCTAAGACCAAATGAAAGGAAAGAAAGCACATTAATTTTAAATAAATTATTAAAACGCGCAGGCAACTTGTTAAAAAAAGCTGTTTATCGGGCTAAGACCAAAAAAAAGAGAACAATAATTCTTAAATCATTGAATCATCATTGAATGATCGTTAAGCATAAAAGCCTCTTTATTATTTTTATAAATTTAAACTGTAAAAGTAAAATAATTGACTCGAAGCCCCTCTTTTAAATAATCTTAATTTTATGATTCGGACCGTGAACAAATTATAATAATTATCTAAAATCTTTATATCTTTTTTTATCATAAAATTATAAAAGCGCTGTAATTTCATCGTTGTAAAATCAAAAAACCTTCGAATTAAAAACGGCATGAAAAATATTATTAATAAAACTAAATTCTAAACCTTTAATTTTTCTGTACTCTTATCGTATTGGATGCTGAATTTCATCCCGTAACAATACCAAACTTTTTTAAACTCGTTAAAATACATCCAAAAAAT